AGAGTCTCTCTCCATGGGATATTTGAAAATAGCGGGTATTAACTCAATAAAACTACCACTAAAACTTTTCCATGACTTTTCAAGGACCTGTGAAAAAAATTTCGAGTCCATTTTACAATGTATAAAGAACAGAACTGTATACTGTACTTGACTCCAAATGTTAATGATAATTATTATGTTCATATTCACTTTAAATGCTTCAAACGACAAGTGCAGCCATACAATCACTTACTACATATCCATCTGACAGTGACTCAAGCATGAGGGAAAATGGAACTAATTATACTGTCACTGTATTCCTTATGCATTTGATTACATACACATTCCCGGATGCAAGTGTGACAAACAATGCGGCAACATAAGACTGGAGGCATGCGCTTTTAAAGTCTTGAAAGTCAGTGGATGTGGAAGGTTATCTACAGAAGATAAATGTAATAATTAATTTTCCAAAACTTTCAGTCATTTTTACTAATCTCTTGACTATTCCAGGCCTGGAAAATGAGATTGTGAAGTTTCATGACTTCTCCAGGTTTTCCATGACCTTGGGAACCCTAATTAATGACAAAATCATCATTGACACTTCATTCCATAAAAATTATGAGCAATAGAGTGGAATGACAAAGGAAGAGAATATTGAACACACTTGGCTGAGAGGCTTTTGTTTGAAATGCCACCTTCAAGATTCTGATCTCTCAAGAAACTGATCTCTCACAATGTTCAGATTGGATTTTGGCTGATTCTTCCACTCAGACAGTCTTTAAATCCTGAAGAGTTTGGGGGGCTGCTTGTGAATCCTGAGCAAGAAATAACCATTTCAAAACTTCAGTTAGTGTCCTTGGCTCCCAAACTCTCCCTTAGTGTTGTTAAAAGAAATATTGATGTAACACAGTGGTAAACACACCCCTGTCCAAACTTTTTGTAACGTGTAACAGGCATTACATGTAAAATGAGTGTATATTTCTAAAATATAAGTTTCAGTGTGATCATTAAATATTGTCTTTGTGCTGTATTAAACTGCATGTAGGCCAACAAGGAATTACGAATTACAGCGTTCTGTTTTTATTTATGTTTTACACAGCGGCACAACTTTTTTAGAATCAGGGTTGTACATAACAACTGAATAGCTCTGCAATGCATTAAGAAAATTGTCTGCATCTAAACTACCATAATGTTTTTCTTTACAAAATACTAAAGTATAAAACAGTAAAGCCTCTCGGTTATCTTTATGGCCTTGTCACTGCCTCAAGGAAATTTCTCTGTCCCTTGAAGAGAGTATTTTCGAGTTTTTGTTGCTTCTTTACCTGAATTGTGTGGTTTAATTATTCACGTCGCCTGTTCGTCTTTTACGTAGATTACATTGACAAATTACTCTTATTGGCTATTTGCTCATGGGGCTTTTGGTTGCACTTGCAGATCTTTGAGACAGGATCGAGACATCTCTAATTGTAATTATGAGCGTCTTACAACATTACAGAAAGGACCCTACAAAGATTGATGCGTTCCTCAGTACCTTTCGCTTCAGTTTTCTTTTGTGTCTGGCAACCAAGAAGTCTCATTCTGAAATCTCACGAGAGGTGACTTGTTGCTTGAAGAAAATGGTGGGAACCTAAGTGAGAGTTGGAGAGAGGAGTGCTGATAATAGTTTGTTGTGTTTGAACACTGTGAGGTTTCAGACAGAGACTTCTCTTTTAGCGAGACTTAGACACAAAATAGAAGAGATCGAAAAGCAAAAACATTTTATTTCTTTCAAGGTAATTTTGTAACACACTCATGCTAACAATCTGAGCCTGTCATGGCAAAACAAATACTTTTAATCGGCGTAAATTGACGGTGGCACTCAGGTTGTGTTGCAGCTTGTTTTGCTTCCGCCTTCTTCCTCAACATTTCAAAAACTGTTGTTGGTATTAGTCACCTAAACACAACAACATGGAAAATATGGTGCAGGTTGAGAAATACCAGAGTTCCCCTTTAACATATAACATTTGGTATCAGTTACACCCACACAGTGTGCATGTCTGCAGTCAATCAGGACCAGCGGTGGAAAGTTTTGAGGTATTCCCATTTATGCTAATTTATAGTTGAACTGCACCGCAGTACTTTTTACACCACGACACTTATTTGACAGCTGTGCTTACTGGAAAGTTTGCAGATTACAATTTCACACACAAAACATTTGATTATTATATAGAATATGTTATAAACTACTAATCAGTGGTGGAAACTGCCAGCAATTTGCTCAGCTGGTGCAGTAAACTGCTACTTAACAGTAATAACAGTGACATAATAAGTACTTCTGCTAATGCTTTTGTACTTCTGGAGTAGAATTGAATGCTGGACTTTTACTTGTAATGAAGTATTTCTACAGTGTAGTAGTGTGCTACTTTTACTTAAAGGGGTAGTTCAATTTTTTTTGAGTGGGCTAATATGGGGTATTTATCCATAGGCAGCATATTACATGCAGTAGATGTACGTCAGCACGGCCCCAGTTTGGAGAAGCAGGCTGGAGTCCGACACGGCAGCTAGGCAATGTATTGCTGTGGATGGGGGCCATCAACAAAACTCTTTTTAGCCACCTAAAAAACCCAATATGAGTTCAAGTGTACACTATATTTAGAGTATTGACACTAATTTACTTTTCTGTCAGACAAACTGTGCCAACGGGAAAGGCATTTCCGGCTTCAGTTCCCCATCTCTGCTCTTGTAAAAGCCGCCAGACTCCATTGACAAAAACAGTGATTTTACCTTGTTGAACACAAGAGCTGCTGGTCTACCTCTGCTCTGATAAGTTAGTTGGTGTTATTTTATGACTTTGGTGAATGTGAACTAACCCTTTAAAAGCAAAAGTCAAGCAACAACACAAACACAGTAAACGAGGCAGCGGTAGACCCGCAGCCACTTTGTCTAGCAGTGTTAAATTACTGTTTTTCTTAATGGAGTCTGGCTTTGAAGAAAGCGACAAAACGGCTTCATTTTACTGTTGGAAATCAACGTCTGACGTAAAGGCTGCTCTCAGACCTAGAGTTGTCTTGCTTTGGTCTGAATCAGGGACTAATTTTGTACGAAGTTGTATAATTGCCTAGAGTTGGTTCCTGTTCTCACGGCAGCATTTACAAGCGGACCAGTTAAAATGCCTCGTGTGGGAAAGCTGCTCTTGATTGGTCAAAAATCCAGGAAGTAAAGCAAACGTTGAAGAAGAGTACACTTGCAAGATAAATGTGACACTTTCTAATGTCACAATGGAGGGACAACTACGCAGGTTGATTTTAGCGCTGCTCATCGTGGACTATATTGCTGTCATTGTTCATTTTAGTCAAACCATACAGTTTGAAAACGAGGTGCAGCTCCAACTAGAAAACAATGTTTTGATGCATTGGATGTGCTGAATGTGCATATTAAGGCAGTACAGGAGGAGGTGCACATTAATAATCCTCCAGGACTGTAACATGCTCATGTTTAACCCAAACAATGTGTCATGTGACTGCAGTTGCTTCACATCCAGGTCGGAACACGTTCTCACCACAAACGAACCGCACCAGAGTTCGTTTGTAACCGGACTGAGACCACCTCTTCAAGAAAGTCTCGGTGTGGTTGTTTTGGTGCACAACTGAGTGTGATAGCTGTGTTCACATCTGCCCAAATGAACCACACTTAGGGGGCAAACAAACTTGAGTTCAGTTGAACTGAGCCAAACAAGGCAGGTGTGAAAGCACCCTAAGGTAAAGCAGTGGAAGAGTTTTCTGTTTGCGTCTGTGTTTCATGTTATTTGTTCATGTTTTATCTGCTTCCTGTTTTATTTTGTAGATTCTCTCCTCATGTGTCGTGTCTGGTTTTACTTCCTGTGCATTTTCCCGTCTGTTTTCTGTCACACCTGTCTCGTAGTCCTTCCCTGTTCCCAGAGTCTTCCCTTCACACCTGTTCTGTATTAGTCGTTTGCTCCATCCTAGTGTTCCCCTCCACACCCTTGCTGTCAGTCAATCCCCATGTCCCTCCTTTTGCCTGTGTCCACCTACTCCAGCTGTGTCTCGTTCTTGTGATTAGTTTTCTGTGTATATATACCTGTGTGTTTCCCTTTGTTCTTTGTCAGTTTGTCTGTGGTCATCCCTGTGTTCTTGATGTCGTCCATGCTCCATATCATGTCTTGGTTTTTCAGTTTTATTTTTTGTTCCGCTTTCATTTGGACTTTGTTACCTGCTGTATCTGGATGTTAACCAGCCTAGTAGTCTGCATTTGGGTCCTTCCTGAACCGACACGTGACAGAAATTACTCTCAATAAAGCGTGCACTTAAACTGATATTTAATTTTTTAGGTGGCTAAAATACGTTTTGTTGCTGACCCCTCCACAGCAGTAGATTGCTTAGCTTCCATGTTGGACTCCAGCCTGCTTCTCCAAACTGGGGGCGTGCCAGCTGACATGGACTGATGTAATATAGATGTAATATTCTGTCTATGGATAAGTACCTCATACAGCCCCACTTAATAAGAACCTAACTGTCCCTTTAAGGAAATGATCTAAGTATTTTTTCTACCACTGGTCAGGACAGAAAATGTGCTCATATAAGCACTATTTTTTTTCTCCATTTTGCACAAACTCTTTAACAATGTACTTTTTACTTGAATGTTTGGCAAAATGCATTCGGGATAAAAGTTGTATATTATAATCTCACTATGTTTATTATATTATGTATAGTAGCAAGAAAGTTTCCAAAGTTTAGCTGGCTCAAAGTTGAAGACTCGAGTTAAAATCTAAATCTGTGGAACCAAAGCTCATAACATCAACCTCTGTTATGACTGTAAAGATATAAATTACCATTGAAGGTTACAGCACTTTCATGATGATTAGCATTCATCAATATTAATACAGAAATCTTTGATACTTACAACTCCACACACTATCAAGAGAGGAGACCTTGACGAATCAGGAAATGTAAATAACCTGGGTGCTGCTGAAGATGTTAAGTGGTGGTGTAAATGATAAAAAAACAAAATCACACCTTTAATTATTAAGAAACTGTGCAAATAGCTTTTTATTTAAAATACACATTGAGTCATTAAAGACAGCAGGGCTGATCTGAGGCAAGCAGTCAGTATTGTGAATACAGATAAATAAACAGGGCGTCAATTTGTTCCGGGACCAGATAAGTGAATTTTCCATTAACTGTCAAGCACCTTCAGGTTACTGTGGTTACAAACACCTACATGTTTTAAAACTGGTTAACCTTCTCCATGTACTCCTCTTGTCATCTGGCAGCAAGAGTTCAGAAAGTAAAAGCGCAGAGCACACATCTGTTAATGAATGCTGCTTTAAAGGGACAGTTCACCCCAAAATCAAAAATACAGAACTGTAAACTTTTTGTCGTGACCACCACAGAAGGCCCGACTATGAAATAATCCGATTGGACAATGGGGAAAAAGAGATGACGCGGGGTGCTTATCCACTCTGTGGTGAAATTTTTTCAACTCAAGGAGTTCAGAGTGCTCCACCAACAACACCAAGTGCCTAGAGCGCAGAAACGCCAGGTCCTCCACAACGCAAAAACCACAAGCAAAAAACTTTATTCTCATTAAAAACAACAACAAAATTCGACTCCAGCTGCTAAAACACCTTTTGTGTGATCGGGGCTTTACTCAAGATCATCCACAGACCGTGTTGTGAGCAGTTTCATGAAGGACCTACTCTCTTTCTAACGATTACACCCACTAACTGTATCACCATGCAGAAGGAAGCGGGCATACACTGCTAGCTCACCTAGCACCACTGAGCTAGCTAACGTGACAGCTCAGCCAAGAAGGATGCCATCAATGTTTACATCTCACGCTGTCACAAGCACGAGCCTCTCCTCCATGAGAAGATACACGCTTTATGTGCAGTGAGGTTGGTGGGTGAAGTTTAGGAGAAAGGAAATAGTTCCCACATGATACTGCTCACAACAAGGTCTGTGGATTATCTTGAGTGACCAGGTCATGATTTCTGGAAAGAGACAATCTAGACTGATAAATAGAACTACATGTTAAGAGGAAAAATGCGTATTTTTGAATTTGGGGTGAACTGTCCCTTTTAATGGAAAAGTTTCACATTTTGGTAAATACACTGACCCCAAAATGACTCCTACTTTTCCTCCCAGGGGCCAGAAAACAGGCATTCATCTTGAAGAAGCACACTGCAGATCAGAAGAGACCTCATTTCTATTGATCTTAGTCACAAATTGTCTTGGACACGCCCCCTTTTTATAACAGAGGTATCATTGTGCAGCACAGCTGTGTCTGGGAAATATAACATCTGGCTTCCTTAGTCATTTACATGACTTTGGTCTTGTGATCGAAGTTGGTTTTACCCCTTGGAACTGTCATCAAAATGTGACTTTACAGGAAGGACAAGTTCTCGGTTATATTCCGATAATACCAGAAGAAGAGATCCACCCCCTGCGAAGAGGTACTTACAGTCCGAGTTGCTTCATGTTTGAAAAATTAAATCTGACTTCACACTTTGAAGTCAGACTTCATAAGCTTCACATTGTCTTAGAGCAGCGGTCACCGCTGGGGACAGGTGACTCGGGTGTGTCCCGCCACGTGGCAGATGCCACAGGTACGAGCTTTCTTAGCAGCTGGAGGTCTGTTAGCATCTCGCAGGATCTTCTTTCCCCTCCTCCCTCCATCTCCACCACCGTTAAATCCACCACCAAACCCACCTGACACTGAAAACACAGGTCAAACACAACATGAAGCGGTTACAGGTCACTGCAGGAAAAGCAGCAGCAGATTTCTCTGTGTACACTGGGACTGACAGCGCCGTGTCAGCCTGGTAAGTGGATGCCTCAAGGTCTCAGTGGAAGTGTTTGTGAGTCGTGACAGCTTTTCTTTATCAGTGAGTTCAGATTAAGGTGAGGCTGATCTCTCTCGCTTTCTTTGTGGTGTTTGATCTCAGTGTACATCTTCTCTGTTTTGCTCGTATGAAGATGTTTTAAATAAACACAGTGTGTTTCACAAAGACTCCAGGCTTGTGGTGTAAATTATTTGACAGCCAGATTAATGCAGTGAGACGTTTAACTGTGAGGAATCAAATGCAATGCACTGCAAATATCTCTCTGTGATGTACTGTATATGTGAATGTATTAACGGATGTTTTTCCCCTTCGATATGACACAGAGTCTGCTCGTGATGCAAGAGAAAGAGAAAGTAAAGTGACTAAGTGTAATGGTATGAGTACCACAGACTGAAACCAAAACACACTTACAGATGGATTTTCCCAAAAGTCCCCACTTGGTCAGCAGGTAAAAGTAAAGTACCACAACTCTAATTGTTTGCTTTGAAAGACAAATATTTAACTTTACGCAACAAAGGTTTTCAGTGATCCATCTGTAATACATTCAGAACGAGACCCCCGTCGCTGACAGAAACTAAAGACGGTTGTTCCACTGTTCTCCACTTCTGCTCCTGGGGACAGAAACTGCAAAGAATTTCGGCACCTCTATTGATACCATTAGGTAACTAGGGATAGCTACCAGAAACTCATGGGGGAAAAAAAAGCACGACTGTATCCTCTTCCTATTTTGGGTGCCGCACTTCTTTTGTGCTGAAATACGAGCCTTCATTTTCCCGGGTTGTACCCAGTGGCAAACAGAATTGCACAGTGAAAGCGAGGCTTATAGGGAAACAGTCTAAACACTGATGCTGGGTTTACATTAGCTGGCATGTGCAGACTTTTTCGCCGGTATCACGTGGAGTTATCTCAGTGGGAAACATGCCAAATAAATAAATAAATTCCTTAATAGCATATTAAATAGCCTAATATTTTGTGACCTATAAAATATGTTGCAAGACAACTTAAATATAAACGTATACTATGCAGACTAGTTTTTAGGATTTAAGTTGCGCACAGATCTAATTATCCAACAAAGCTGTACAGAGTGTGTCCCTGCCTCTTCAGAGCACATGCCACATTCATGCCAGTCTCCGTTTTCTCCTGGCATGCTGAAATAGTTAGGTGGCGGTGTCATGGAAGACCTTAAACACACCATGGGTCTCCTCATAGAGCAGAGTGGAGATGTGACGCTTGGCACAGTGAGTCATTTTCCTCTTTGCCTCTGCCACTAAACATGCGATGAGTCACTCTGTTCAATAAGCCACTTCTTTATTTAGCCTAGCTTATTTTCAAGTTATTTAATTTGAAGTGTTGTATTACCATTTAAATGAAGGCTGTTGTATTACAATGTAAAACATATGTGCAGTAGTTGTTCTATATGGCCAGAGTTATGGAATATTAGCAGCCACAACTGCCGTCAAAATAAAAGTCTAGTGTAAACCCTGCGCTGATGGTGTTATTATTCTATAGCCGTTACACTGTGCAATCAACGGTTATTTTATAGTAGGTCAAAGCAAAAAAAGTATAAATGCTAACGTCAGCATGCTAACATGTTCACACTGACAGTGCTAACATACTGAGGTATAGCTGATACGATGTGAAGGCAAGCGCTGAACACAAAGTACAGCTGTTTGAAATTTCTTTAGTTTTGCAGGAATTAGGAATGTGCATTTTAAGCAAAAATACTAGCTGATATTCACAGAGAGTTTTTCAGCCATTCTTGGAAGAATTCCTGTTTGTTTCGTGTTACTACCAGGCGCCATCTTGACTTTTTAAAATAATTTAATGACTATAAAATAATGCGGAAAAAGTGAAATCATGACCCATCCCTAGCAGGAATTTAGTTATAAACCAAAAAAAAAAAAAAAGTTTGGAAAAATCTGATGATAGCTCTAGATGAGAGTTAGGGGATCACCAGAGTTATTTCATTTCATCCTTAGTGGGGAATGGATGTCTGTACCAAAACTCATGGCAATCTATCTGACAGATCTCTATCAAATAGAGATGTTTTAGTCTGGACTAAAGTGGTGGACCGCCTGACGGACATTGCCATCCTTAAACCTGATTTATATCAGAGTACTTGACACTTCTGATGAGTTTTTCTCAAAAGAAATGACGTATTTTCGATAGCAAAAAGTGTTGCTCGACACTTTGTATTGCAGCTTGCAAATAAGTTTGAAAATAGCTGCTCGCTGTCTTTGGTTTAGTTTCACTCACTGTTTGATGTTCCAGGTGCTTTGCTTGGTTTTAGAGTTGACTGATTTGCAGGATGTGTGGAGGGTTGCAAGATGACACTAACTGACTGATTTGACTGTCACGTTCAAAAGAATGAAAACAAAATCCCCAAATAAACATTCCCCAAATAAACCGGCCTTTATAAAAACAAAGTTCAAATCAATGGGGTATTAAACAACATCATTAAACAATAAAACACTAAGACTAACCAAATACGCAGCAGCAAAAGACTGTAACCCCACTCACTTCAGCACACCTGCCTTTAATTAAAGCTCCCGAGATGCCAGGTCAGGTGGTGCATTAGAGTGACTCAAAAAATAATAGGAACACTTCCCTTTCATGTCACGCAACTAATGAATTTTGTAATGTCGTGGACACTGTCATATTTAGTTAAGCAGTGTGATTGGGTCACATATTTACCCAATGGACACACTGACCACCTCATTGTCTTGTGCCCCAGTTGTCTTCTCAGTAGAAGCAACTTTAAAATCTCCTCCTCCTCAAACACACTGACTCCATCAAATCCTTCCAATATCAAAATGCAAAAGAAGCACAAATATAGATACAAAACAAACAGCTGTTGAAAGGATGGATATATACCAATGCGGCTGACATGTAACTAACCAAGCCCGCTAGAGGATAGCGTCTAGTTACCATGGAGACGACTGAAACCTTTTGCTGAAGCATAAATTGAGAACACTGCACAGCTCTTTAATTTCTGTCGAGCGAGCGCCCCTTCATAAATCAGGCTTTAGGCTCAATGGATTGTCATTTCGAGCCTCAGCTTAATAAGGGTAGAGTGCGTGTGTGTGTGTGTGTGTGTGTGTGTGCCTCACCTGGTGGAGGTGCGTTCTCATCAGCCCATTGGAAGAAGCCACACTGCTGTTCTCTTGGTTTCCCACATGCGTGGAACATCCGGCCCTTGTTTGGACCGTCCTTCTGCACCGTGCGCGTCACCACTGCCTCGTTACAGTTACACATTATCTGTCCCGCATGTCCTCCTGCACCACCCTGCAGCCCCCTTCCTCCTCCAGGGTGGTTACTGACCCCCAGAGAGGGCCTCGATGGGGCAGGCAGCGGAGGCCCTCGACTCTGTGGCGCCCCCTGCTGACTCGGCTGATCTGCCCACAGAAAAAAGTTGCAGTTCCCAGCGTTGCACTTGTAGAACTGGCGACCTTGGTTGGGGCCATCTTTGCGCACAGTGAGGAGGAGCGCATCCTGACCACAATTACACACAATGACATCACTGTTGGTGTCTACACTGGATCCACCACCACCTGCTGGAGGGCGAGGCTGTGGAGTCCAGGAGGGGACAGGAGGAAGAGAAGGGCGAGGATTTGAACGTGGGGCTCTGGGTGGCTCTGGTCTGGGGGGCCTTGGAGCTGGTGGATGAGGATCCCCTCCTCCTCCTCCTCTTCCTCCTCCTCCTCCTCCTCCTCCTCCTCCGCCTCCACCCATCCCACCTCCTCCGCCTCCCCCACCTCCTCCTGCTCGGAGGTACTTCAGGTCCAGCACCTCTCTGAGTGTCTCATCACATCCACCGATGCAGCCAACAAACTCTAAAGGCATCATGGGAGGGATGCTGCCCCTGCGGAACTTGAACTTCAACCTGAAGAATGCAACACACACAGGAGACAAATGTTTAAGAAGTCAAACTCAGTATACACACAGTGTGATGGAGCTGAGCCAACAGCAACAGAAAATAAAGAACTGTGCTGCGCTGGTCCAAATCCACCAGGTATTACAGGGCTTTGTTATTTGTATGTAAATTTAACTGAAACAGTTTGTAAGCTTTAAATATGGATGAAAGTACGCAGAGGTTTGGATGTGGCTGAGTTTGAGAGAGGACAGACATTTTAAAGATTTTAAGATGAAACTGGTGTCAAAGCAATGAAAAGTTCCTCAAACCTCACTGACTGTGGAGAGTTTTGAGGAGAATGTAACCAGTTTTAAGATAGTAATCGATCATTACTTCATCTCTATAAATAGAAATGTGCTTATGTATGCAGAGTCTGTAAGCAACAGTACAGGATTGTGGTATCAGAAGTGTTCAGGTTTCCATTTGTAGTCTGAGTAATATTGATCAATCACATCTGAGTGTGTGTGGAGCAGTGTTAGAGTCGTCACTCAAAAAAGTATTGTACATTACTCCTTACTTTAAAAGAAAGAAATGCATTACATTAGTTAAAAACTCCCTGTGGAGAGTCATTTTTTACACTTCCTGTTACATTACTTTTGTGTTAGTCCGCAGCATTACCTCAGACGCATTGTTACGTAATTACAAGATAACAATAATAAATATTAAACCTTACTTCTGCCCACACATCAGCAAAAAACATGGCTCAGGAGAATCCAGACAGCACTGCAACAGGCTGCAACTGCCTCAAAATAAAACTATATCAATATATAAAACAATATAAAAGACATCAGCCTTCCTGACAGCACCAGATGATTACAAGTTTAAACAAACTCACTGGAGTTGCTTGCATTAGTCCAGCTTATTTGACATTTATCACTAAAGCAGTGGTTACACCTCATCAGGAGGAGTCTATCAAACTATAATTAATTTTATTCTATTTTACTCAACCTATATTTAACCAGGTAAGTCCCGTTGAGATCAACGGCCAAGACAGCAGCACACAAAAAGTTAAAGCCAAACAACCACACAATAAGAAACATAAGACATACAGTAACATGTAGAAATATTAGATCGCCTACGCACTAATTACAAGACCCAATCAACTCATTCATCCTTGTACTCATAAGAGCTTTAACATCAGGCAGAGACCAGTTCACGTAGCTTCAACTCTTTTTGAAGGTTATTATAAGTAAGAGGAGCAGAGCAGATAAAAGCTTTCTTTCCCAGCTCAGTCCGTGCACTAGGAACAGACAACAAAACTCAGACTGTAGCTACAATCAGATTTCTGTTCAAAATACAAATGTATGAAGGAAGTTTACCCAGTATGGCTACGAAAGGTCAAAGATGGCCGACCAGCCCTGGAATAATTGTTTGATTAGTTACCGTAATATGATTACTGAATTTAGAACAGTAAGGCTTACATTACTGCGATACCAACAAATGTAATGAGATTACAGTAATACCTTCCTTTGTAATGCGTTACACCCAACACTGGTGTGGAGAGGCACGTTGGCTGAAGTGCATTCTGCGTTCACAGTGAGATATCTGCTTACAGAGATAAGCCAAAATGACCCGAGCACAGAAGAGGAAGTCTTGGCTCCAATATCCGGAGATCCACTTCGGGTGGATCTCCCAAAATCCCCCGAGGGTCATCATCATCAGGCGATAGCAGGTGGGTGTGCAACAATAATTTGAATAATAAAGTAAGTGGCTTTGGCGACTGGTGAGGCTGCCGCGTTAAGAAATATACCCCGTTTACACCTGGTATTAAAATGTGTTTCGGTGATCCGAACACAAGTGGACAGCTGGGACACATCGCTGTTCACACCTGTGTCTACCATGCGTCTCCAGCTGACCGCTCGATCAGACTTCGTTACTGCCTATGTCTCGTATGCTAGGAGGTCACAGGGCCCTGCTCAGTTATCACATCCATACTCTAGCTGGCTGCTTGCTAACACAGCCGCTAGTAATGTTAGCGGTTGTGTCAATACAGGTGGAGATATCAGCAGAATTCAACATGTCTGCGAAATAATGGACAGTGACGCAACACTTCGACCAACTTGTTAAATGGGAAAGTGATAGAGCATTAGTGCAGTGTCACAAAAACCACCACCACTTCCTGTATTGATGATGCAGCCCCTGTCTGGGATGCATTAGGACAGATGTGCCCCACACCACCCTGGCGAGGGGTATGAGTGATCAGATCACAATGTATCTTGGTGCCCTTCTTGTATTTAGAACTCTGCACCTGTGATCAGATCACCCAGGATGCATCAGTACCAGGTACAAACGGGCTCACAGTTTATTACTGCATACGTCTGGTGTTCACAGCATCTGAAGTTATCCAACACGCTGACACTGCTGGGAGAAAAGAAAAAAACTGTGATATTGTTTTAGAGTAAGTGCTGTAGTTCAACTTTGAGCTCTGTACCAGATTGGTTGCTATGGAAACAGATGCTGGTGTGGAGCACTTTGGCTCGATGCTCGCGAGCGTGCCCTATATTTGGACTGAGCCGAGGCACGTGCTCAAAGGGTTAACGCCCACTGTGTAAACAAGAAATTTGACAAGTTTTCTGCACTGCCGAAGTCACTGAGAGCCTCATCTGTGTTTGTTGTGTTTGCACAACAAGCTGCGCCTACGTACACTTCTCATTAATCTGAGAAATGAAAGCTGTGTGTTCAAGGCAGCACAGGGTCCTTGGAGTGGAAGTAAAATAGCGTGTTTAATTCAATGTTCAATACGTGTAGATGCTGTGGGTGTGAACTGTGCTGAGAGGAAGTTAAGACAAAGTATTTATAACAGAGTGCCGCAGTAAAACCAAACCAGCAGAGCAGCAATGTTGAAACCGAATTTAAAGACCAGCGATGGAAAAGGGGAAACCAGTGAGGGGCAACTATATAGGAATATAATATTCAAATATTCTGGTTGTTTTCTGCTTTAAAACTTTCATAAATAAACTCTGTCTTTCATTTCTCTTTTTACTTAAAGTGGTTCTTCAGCAATTTAGTATTGCATTTTCATTTTATATATTTAACAGGGACCAAATAGTTAAACACTGTTACATACAGAGGAGCAATGCAACAGATGTTATGCATATACTGTATGGGTTCTGGCTGAAACTCATATGCAGCCCCTGCCGCCCCCAGCTGGACTTTTAAATCTAGGTTAAAACAAACAAGTAAGAACATAAAGTTGTGAGACTTGTGAGAGATATATAAAATATACCACGGGCCCTATCTTAGAACTAGCACAAAGCGGTGCACAGTATCATTGCTAGTTTCAGACCGATGCAGCTGTTACTTTCACTGCCAGTGCCCATATTGTGCAAGTAGCACCCATCTGTGTGCCCATGGATATGTAGGTCTTACAATGAGGTGTGGTCTGGTCCATTGTTTTTTTGAGGCAGCAGAAAATGATGTGCCATTAACCATCCAAAACCTGGTCTGAAGTCAGAGTGGCGCAGAATGGCGTGCTATTTAAAGTACGCATTATTCAGATAGTAAGATGCACCAACATACGTGGGTTCACTATGCTCATACACTGCATGGACGTTCTGATGGGTTGCAGGTCAGTGAAACAACACATCACTAACAAGGAAAATATTAATTGCATTCTCTGAAATGTGAACGTAGCAGAGAGCAGAGCAGAGCTGCTGACACTGTGTGCATGTGTGCACGACAAGAAGCGTTCCTTCATTGATTGTTTTAGAAGCTAAAAGTTTAATTCTGTTTCCTGTGTCAAGTTTATAACTACAGTTTTAAGTTCTGCTGCTTAAATGTCCGGTGATAATTTCCACAGTGACGTTACTGCATCACTCTCAGCGGGAGACCACTCGCTTCTCCAATTATCTGCCATGTAAACAGCAGCGCATCAGGTGCAGGCTCACCTGGCTTTTAGAGGGAATAGGAGATAACACTCTGATTGGTTGAATTTATGTGCAGCCCAAAACACACCTATAATTGGATGGACCCGCACTATAGAGCCCTTCTAGTTTTCCGACCACTCAAAGTGCTTTTTACACTACGAGTCACATTCACACACTGGTGGTCGAGGCTACCATACAAGGTGCCACCTGCTAGGGAGTTGTTTCAACACACACTCACACACTGATGGAGCAGCCATGGGAGCAATTTGGGGTTCAGTATCTTGCTCAAGGATACTTCCACATGCAGACTGATCTTCCAAGCCACAGCTACCCCCCATGATTGATTAAGGGACTAATTAAACATGCTCATTATGCTAACGTGCTGATGTAAAGCAGGTGTAATGTTTACCATGTTCACCATCTTAGTTTAGCATGCTAACACTTGCTAGTTAGCACTGAATACAAAGTATAGCTGAGGCTGATGATAGTGACATCATCAGGGTTATTCTATCAAACTTTAGAATGCTCCATCCTTCGTCACACAAAACATTACACAGCTGTTTTCACAGACTGAGTTGCACTCCTGACAATGAGTAAATCGAACTTCATATGTAAAATCTGTGAGTATCCAAATTACTTTTATATAATATCAAAATCTGAAACATTATATCGTACAGTCTACATATGTAGAACTGAATGAGCAACATCCAAATTTGCTCATCTAATGTTTCACAATTCATATGCAAAATATCTGAGCACAAAATAATACGCAAAGCAGGTAGGAAGATGGGAACTAAAGAAGTTCTGAAAGTCTGAACTCATCAGGATCATAAACTATTTGCATGGTTTCCTGCGACCCAGCTCTGTGAAATGAAATTAAACACGGTCCAGTATAAAATGAAAACTTACATGTGAACAGGGCGCGGCTGACAGGTGGGACAGATGCTGTCATCTCTGTTGACCTCCAGCACCATGTCGGGGAACCACACTGCTGTCTTACAGGCTGGGTAGCCCGTGCAGGACAGGTACTTACTGCAGGACCATAGCAAGAGTTAGAGAGGAAGAAAAAGGAGGATAATGACTGTCTGTGATCTTCTTCTCATTTATTTAAGTAATTTTTTGTATGACGATCAACTTGCAAAGCCTTGAAACAAGCTTGGTTTATGTAATCAATCACAGTGACTATTTAATCAGCTTTGTATTTTATGAAACTTATATTATGTGCTTACAGGAACTCTTTTCGCAGCAGTTTTCACGATCATTTTAATCACATTTAAGACTGTTCCTTGACAAATCATCTTTTTCTTATTCAAGTATTGAAGGCAAGTATAAAACTTCATGTAGTCCCTTGCAGATATAAGTTTTATGTAGGAATATGTTTATTAGAGTGAATTAGCTTAATCAAGATTTTATCAATTAAGTGCAAGTAAAAAGTAAAAGTTTAAAGATTCCTAACATCAGAAATGTGGACTTTGACGCAGAGGAGCTTTCGACTGAAAGAAATTAAAGATGGATAAATGAAATAAGATCAAATATTTGTGGCAATTAAGACCTCACAAATTCAAAGTTGAGACTACTTAATGACATTTAAGGCCTCATATTTGTACAATTGAATTTGGGTCATTTTAACAGGGTGGCCACAGGTCCTTAAAAAGTCTTAAAATGTCTTAAATACACATTTACTGATAAAAGGACATAAGAAATATTAAATTGTCTTAAATTCAGATTGTCTTCAATATTTTTAAGTCATGCCACTTCAAGAAATTGCAGTGTTGGCGCTATGCGGGGGGGGGACACATTCCCCTCAGTATTTAGAACATGTGTATTTGTCCCCCCAATAAAAACATTAAGTAGCAAAGCAGTTATTTAGTCATAATTAAAGACATATATCACAAATTGATGCAGAGAGCTGTTCGTTTTGAGCTGACATCAATGTGTTTTGGTGTGTATTCAAAAGCAAGTTTGGTTGTATTGAAAAGGTTATAAAATGCCATAAATTTAACTTGTCAATAGCTGTAGACTCCCTGTTCAGACTTTAAAGGTACTTACGCACACCCTGTAAAAGTTGTGAGCTTTTGAGCCGTGTTGTTACATTTAGCAAACATGGATGTCTAAGAATAACAGCGTGAATCTGATAGATTAAAGTCAAAACGCTGTTGTTGTAGCAGCAACATAACACTGCATTAGTGTGTCATTAACAAAATTTCAAGTCTCTGCTAAATTAGATCATGACACGCTACCAAAGTAAAGAATCAAACTAAGATCTGCAGTTAATGTGATAAAATATGCAGAACCATTGGCATGAGAAGTGTGAGAAGTGAATGAGAGCATCGATGCCACCATTTGAGACGGGGGAAGAGGTGAGCATTCAGTAAATGCAGAATGATTTATGGGCACCATCTTCGTTTTCTTGTGATGATACAGTTTTAAACTTTGCCTTGTGTCTGGTCTCACCTGTTTCCCTCCCTCTTCTTCTTCAGCACCATGTCCCGCCCACAGTGAGGGCACTTCCTGACAGGCAGCGGGATCTCCATGTCCTGCTGCTCTGCTTCAGTGATCTCATGAGCTGCACCCAGATATGGCGACAGGGCTTCATCCAACCTGGGACAACGACAGAAAAATTACTTCTTACCAGAGTAACAACAGCCAACATCCTGCAATGACTACAGGACAGGTGTTAGTAATCCATCATTGTAAAATATGGCACCGTTCTGTTCACTTGGGTGCAGATGGTGCATCAGAAATATACAACTCTATGCTGAGGTAAACTTTTACTAACTTTTTTGCCTTCCTGACGGACTCAATGAAGACGGTTTTGTATTTCTGGATTTGGTTCTGCAGCACGCTCCGTTTGTCCTTCCTGCCCTCTGACACCAGCTTGAGGTCAGCCTCCAATTCAGCACGCAGGTTTGGTTTGGACATCTCGTAGCCCATGGAGTTGTAGCCTAAACAAACACACACAAATTTGATAACAAACACATTTGAGTGACAGGGACAATGACATAAAGGAGCCTATCAACATCACTATGTATTAAAACCTACTGTGTGTGTGTGTGTGTGTGTGTGTGTACATACCTTCCACCAGTCCCATGCCGAGCTCTCCCGGCAGAAACCTCTGGTCAGCTGTCAGGCCCACGTACATGCGACTCTTGATGGTCTCAATGTGGTCTGCGTGAGTTGCATCTGTGCCTATAATACACACAGTTTGTTCACAGAGCAGTTAAACCTGTACTAATAACCGGTCAATGTTAACTCTACAAAAGGGTCACTAATGCCTGCCATACACTGGAGGACTGGAAAAACATTTAAAGACTAAAGTCTGACACCCTTTCACATATAAAGACAATGCGAGTTTTTAGTCACAGACTTTACGGTTCTGCAAAGACTAGGGATCTCCAACTAGATTTCTTTTGAGATTATTTTCCATCCTGCTCCTGGTTGAAAAAATTACGCAAAACTGCCTTTAAAAAATATGACATATTAACGATTAAGTGTCTGCAAAAACACGTGATTCTAGATTCACAAGATAAAAGTCACCATATGTCGACAGTATTCTTGTCAATTTGGCATCAATATAATCCATAAAGATAAACTGTATTTGTGAACAAACTTTACATTTTGGATTTATCGCCTCAACCTGCTACCAGCCTGCGTTGGACAGCTGCAATATTTTAGTTGGAGGAGACCGTGGGAATGAGCGGCAAACTGTTTTTTGTCACTCCACAACTCTACCAGTTTGTCCTCCTTTTCCACAGTAAAAGAGAACCAAGACTTGTTCATGTTCTTGCGCCTCCCTGGAGTCCCCTCCATGATTACTGTCTACCTGGTTTGCTGCTTCTTGTTTGGTGCTGAGAGAGCAGCTATAGGTTGATGACAATGTTCAAGTCATTGCACTTCAGTATTTGCACGAGCCAAGACTAAAAACTTAGGATAATTTTAAACATGTTTGATTTTGTCGGAACATTAACATGAAAAAAAAGGCTGAGTTTTATGACCACCTTACACCAAATGACTCTGGCAACTCTGGCAAAAAAACTGTCATGATTTTATTCCTACATCGGAAATTTGTTTGCATCAGTGAAATCACTTGAAAAGTCGTTAATGTAAGGTTTACAAAAGTTGCTGCTTACGTTAAGTTTGCTCAAGGTAAGTGTTTACGTGCTCTAACTGAAAAACTACTATAAACCTAAATGTAGTGTAAACAGGTCACCAAACACACCCGACACACACACACAAAAAAACTGTGTACCGGCTGAGTGATGACCACATGCACTGAGATGATAGAAATGTATCAAGGTATAGGGACGTTTCTACACTGTTTTCACTGAGGTAAATTTTCTTTACTTCTGGTTGTATTTGGCTGCAGACTCATGTGCGTGTCTACACTGTACCGATGCCGTGCTTCTCCATCAGTGATATGAGGTCGGCTTCAGTGAGCAGCTGCGGAGGACTCGTCTGTCCATCCACCATCTCAATAGCAGAGGGCTGGAACTGGGAGCCTTGCTCATACACTGGAATCACCTGCCACACAGATACAAAGCATGTTTACTGGAAATGGAGCAAGAGACAGCAGGCGACTGGAAACACAAACAACACGCTCTGAATGTTCTCTGAGTTTATTTAGTTTAGAAGATGAGACCACCAATTATTTGAGCTGACATTCATAGTCTGTTATTTACACACACACACACACACACACCATACCTTAGTGCTCCACCTGTCATACGGGTAAACATCCAAGTAGTTCCTTGCAATGATCATGAGTCCCGAGGTGGAGAAGTTCTCCTTGGCGATGTCTATGTCCACCACAGTCTCCTGCCCTACGGCATCCTGGGATACACACGCCAGGAAGTGCCGCACAATGAACTCATACACACGTCCTTCATTGCCCTGGACAAAGAAGAAACAGAAGCAATCCGTGAAATCTTTGGGCCAATTGTTCCCATCACATTGTTGATCATAAAAGAAACAGTTGAGGGGTTGGACACAGGCGCTGGTGGCTGTATTTTATGAGGATTGTTTATTGTAGGGGTGCTACAAGTCTATACCTCGGTACCAAGTTGATGCCAAAATTGTGAAAATGTGACGGTGCTCGTTTTTGTCCAGTACTGAAGGTACTGGGGATGCAATTCTCTTGGACATGACGGGGCAGCATATACGCCTACAAGTGCTCTAGTCTGCAGTTTAATGCCAAAGGAAGAAAAAGCGTTTACCAGCACGGAAGATCAACAAGAAATGGGAGACTTCGACAAGTGCAGCTGCAGCCACAGCTCCGTCTTGACTCACCGAAAAGAAAAGTCCTGAGGTCAGTGTATGTTTTTAATTGTTTGCAATGGGAGTGCTTCATATTTACACTATGCTACAAACACTAGCAGCATGACGAAGCACTAAGCGTCTATTCTGCACTGAACACTGCATGTTTGGTGTTTTATTCTGGGGTGCTTCGAGTTAAATGTTCAACTTTTGAGTAAAACGCTGCGCTCGCCACTGTCACTACTTTACTATGGCTGATTATTTTCAATACCAGCTGACACTGGGTAAGAGGCTATCACAGGGCTGACACATAGAGACAGACAACCATTCAGACTCACGTTCACACCTATGGGCAAATTAGAGTCACCAATTCACCTGCATGTCTTTGGACTGTGGGAGGAAGCTGGAGCACCTGGAGGAAACCCATGCTGACAAGGGGAGAACATGCAAAATCTGTGAGGCAACAATGTTAACCACTGTACCACTGTGCCATCATGTGACACCCCATGTGACACCATGTGATGTGTGGATTATTTTCTCAATTAATCAGTAGGTTGTTTGGTCTATAAAATGTCAGAAAATAGTGAAAAATGTTAATAGGTGTTTCCTAAAGCCCAGGATGACATCTTCAAATGTGTTTTTTTCCTCCACAACCCGAAGATAATCAGTATGCTGTCACAGAGGAGGAAATAATATAAGAATAATTTAAGAAGCTGGAATCAGTGAGTTTTGACTTTTTTTGTCTCTAAAAATATTCAGATCTGTTAATAAATTATTAAATTAGTTGGCCATTAATTAAAAGTTGACAACTAATCGATTAATCATTGTAGCTTTTTACCCAGCCATCCAATCACAGTGGAGGAACTGCCTCCCACAAAGACCAACAGTCACATCAATATTTTTTATTTTTTTGGAAGATATTTTTAGGGCCTTTTTGCCTTTAACTGATAGGACAACAGTCAGCAAAAAAGGGGGATAGCTAGTCAGGGCGACATGCAGCAAAGAGCCATGGGTTGGAATCGAACCTGCAGCCATTGCAGCAAGAACAAGGCATTTGGACATGGGGCGCCTGCTCTACCAGATGAGCTAAAGGGGGCCAAAACAGTCACATCTTGATATGTACAAGTGCTGAACAACTACACAAGTGGAGGAGACATATGTTAATCTACTGTAAGGCTATATATTATTATATATTTTAATGCCAACAAAATCTCATGAACCCACACAGAGTAGTACTTTGCGTCCGAGGCAGCTCATCAGGAATTAATCATAAAATTTAAATCAAATTTAACTTTAATGTTCCTAATAAAGGAGTTTAAGTGTAAGTATATGAGATTTATTTTTTCTGTAGTATTGAAACGGGTATCCAGAATCATGGAATTTCAGTTGTTTTGGTATTGACTACTTAATATCCAATATGGTGACAAAAAAGGAACATCTGAACAACTGAGCTCCAGTTTTTCCAGATTTACCTGGAGCGCATTGGAGAACTTGGTGGGGTGTATCGGGGGATGGGCTTGGTCAGATTTCTTGCCCTGTCTTGGATTTGGACCCCCAGGCTGGTCGAGCACCCTCTGAGCGAACGTCCCCCACACTGGGCTGTGTGTCTGCTGCTCCACCAGGGGGCTGAGAGCCAGGTTTGCAGGGAAAATGTTTGTCTCTGTGCGGGGGTAGCTGATATACCTGAGCAGGGGAAAAGAAAAAAAAAAAAACATGCAGTCACACAGACAGACCAGGAGGGAACAGGTAATGTGACACTGCATGTAAACTCATCTATTAAAGAAAGACACCACCCTGCCAGATGGTGTCTTTCCATGTATAAAAATAGGCACGACTTTGAGGAGCTTTACCGACCTGGTAAACAATAAATACATTTGACATCACAAAGCCTTCAATGAAGTGGCTCCAAGCCAGATATCTGACTGAAACACATTCAAATAAAATATCAAATAAACACTGTTGGATGATAAACTGAACAGGGCATTCAGCATATGGCCGGACCAAGAAAAACACTGCAGTATGAATGTACATCACCAAACGTGCACTCACCCTTGGGTATAGAGTTTTTCTGCAATTTTCATGGTCTCTTTGGCGTTTATTCTGAGCTTACGAGATGCAAGTTTCTCCAGTTCCTGTCGGTCATTTAAAAGTAGAAGACGGTTCAGACAGAGTGGGACAAAGCAGCAAGGGGGTATTAATACAAGGACACTGAAGCGGACAAACACGACTCTCTCTGAAGTGCTGAGTGTGTGTGTGTGTGTGTGTGTGTGTGTGTGTGTGTGTGTGTGTGTGTGCGTGCGTCTGTTTGACTTTGTATTCTTACCACAGTGTCCAAAGGCAGCGGTCTCCACTTGCTCTTGGGTTTGCTGGTTACTGAGGTGACGGTTGCTATGGGATCCTGGATATGAGTGAAAAGGATATTCTTGTGTGTACATTTCTACATGTGGCTTTTAGTACACTTCTTTTTTTTCCCCGGCAGGTCGACAACAACACGTTCAAATTTACTGTTGTGTCCTCATCACGTAATAACTGAAGGTCGAGGAGAGGTTACACATGTGTGCACTTAGACCACAGAGTGGACACACATACACACACAAACAAATAAACAAACACACACAGGTGCCTTTCTACGCAGGTTACATCACCTATCAGCGTATTTTAGCTTTTACATGAATCACTCAAACGCAATTTATGTGTTGCCATGCTCCTGCTGTGTTTTAGTATTAATACATTTTGCATCTGTTATGCAACAGCAAAAAAAAAAATCTTTTTTTGGCATTTTGCCTGTGTGACAGCAACAAGTTGGGATACAGACAGGAAACACAGGAAAGAGAGCTGACATGTTGAACCCTGGTGATGTTGCAAGCCATGTTGTATCTCTGACCCATTAGGCCACTAGACGCCCTGACCTCACACCTATTTTTGGGATGCAGGAACATCATTGCAAAAGCTGTTTAAAGGGATCATTTCACACTGCAAATGACCCTTTAAATCAGTCATTCACCCCTTGTTACACTGAATTTGGGAAGTTATAAGTGTCAACAGCAAAACTATATCACAGCATCCAATTACAAACTGTCACAAAACTTGTGCAGTGTAATCCAAGTCTCATTTATCCAGCTGTATGCTCAGTACGTCCCAAACAGACAGCCCTTACTGTCAGGGAACTAAAGCTGTTATATTTAGGGCTGCTCCCAACTAAGAATTTTCTTAGTCTTCCAATAGTCGTCATTTAGGGCCATTAGTCAACTAGTCGCCTGCATGTTTATGACATTACTTTAATTATTTACTGATATATTTTAGTGGTTTGAGTTGAAGGTGTGAGAAAGAATAGTATCAGTAACATTGTTAACACTGTGCTACATTACAGAGAAATACAAAACCGTACCAATGAACCTTCATTAATATAGACCTATATTTTATCTACAAGTGCACGTCAGACACTGAGCGAGCCGCCTGTTAATGACGCTGTGGGCTAATGGGCATGTAGCTACTTCCATGTTTCAGACGTCATGTTTGTAGTCGACCAATGAAGATGAGTTTACATATCACCTTGGGTTCGTCCTTCACCTTCTCAAAATGATCCCACACTTTGGATTTCCTGCCCGACATGTTATTAACTAGCCTGTGGAATAACCGCAGGTACCAGCCCTGGAAATTAACCTGACTCCTGTCTGACTGCTGAGCGTGGACACTTCCTGTGTCTGTCCTTTCAAATTACATTCACACATGGTCAAGTCATATAGGTTTTAAATTATTTTGACAAGGTGCAGCTCCTAATAGAGTTTCACATTTGTTTTTTTTCTGCGACTAAATGACCAATGAAATCTTGCCGACCAATGACCTTTCTGGTTGACGACCGTTTGGTCAACTAATAGGGGGCAACCCTAGTTATATTCATCAATGTTCTCTAACCCTTTAAAACACCAAAGTCACACAATAACACAAACAAACTAACTGATCGAGGCAGCAGCTCCTGTGTTCAGTGAAGTAAAATTACTATTTTGTCAATGAAGTCCAACTTTGTATAGAGAATAGAGTGATTTTGATTCTTCATTCACCGTGGAGGCATGCAAAAAAAAGTTTTCTTTACAAATTCAAAGTTACACGGGATGCACAACTGTTATACAAATGATAACTTGATCATATCTTCCCATAAAATATAAAAAAAAAATCAATACATTTTGAATATGTAAAGATACATGTGATACAATTGCTTGCACTTCTCTTTGTTTGTTTATTCAATAATGTGTGTTAACACAACTTTTCATAATAATTAACAGAGATTTTACTGAAGAAACTGAGTTATTACTCAAGAGACCAAACTAAACAAGTAACCCAAAGACTAAAAGCATAAGGGTGTCAACGTTATATTCACAAACATAAACTAGTAACAACGGACATAACAAAACAAATCAATAACATGATATAAAACAGGCACTTACCTCCATGCAGATCTGGTAGAGCACCAAGCAAGCTGTGTGGTTGAAGAGACGGTTTCTTTTCCAACTGAACTCTACAGTGTCCTCCTCCACTTCGTGCAGCACTGAGACAAAGACAGACACAAAGAACAGAAGGCATGAAGAGGAGTGAGTATCAGCTGAGAACTTGAACACAACTGATCTACGTGTCTGTGCACAGATGAGTTTGTACCTTTGATCTTGTAGAAAGTCTCAGGTATGAATGCCTGGATGGCTTTGAAGCGCTCCACCACGAAGCCCAGAGTGGGAAACTGACAGCTGCCGTACGAGATCAGCTGATTGGCCAGAGACTCTGGAAAGATCTTCTGCAGGCGAAGCGTCTGGAATCGAGTGAATGACGCACCTGCAGGAGATGAGTGCAGGAGAGAGGATGGGGTCATATTAAAGCTTGAGTGTGGGACTTTTGTCTCCCCCTTCTGGCAGTGAGAGTAATTACATAAACTCTGTTGACGCATGTGAGCTTCCTGCTGTCAGTCGCTTTCATTTTGTTAACTTAATCCTTTCTCTGAGTTTTTTTTAACTGAAGAGTTAATTACAGAATTTTTTTCTTGAACGTTTCTTAGGATTTTCCGCCACAGCTGCTGCTCTGTCACTGTGCTCTCTCCCCCATTCCCGCCCCCTGTAGCTCTGGCTGGTGTGCCTGCTCGGTAAAGTCACTTCAAAATACAGAGCTTTCCCTGGCGGCAGTAGGCTATATCAGCATTGTATGAACTTGTTTGTCGAGGGCTTGAATGTAACTGACTTCTGTTCATATGTTTTTAAAGTGTTGTATGATTGGTGAAGTGACATTTAATCAAGGTCACCAAATTGTGATTGTGCTGTCATCAGTTGAGCCATTTAATAATACTAAAAGAATCTATTCCCCCGCATTAGTGTGTCACTATGTATCATTAAGTACGGTTTAAGAGTGCTTTCTTACCTATCCGCAGGTCCAGCTCCTGACGGACATCCACAGCATCGCTGATGTTAGCATCCGGCTCCGTCAGAGTCTCACAAGCTCTCCGAATGGAGTTGGGGGTGATCTCAGAAAACTTTGCCCGAAAGACTTGTAAATTGGGCTTCACTAAAAACAACACACACACACTATAATCAGGAGCCATTTTTGGACAAACACACACAAAACGCGCCAATTTTAGTCCTCATTTTGAACAGATTAAACAAGTGAGACATAAAATATTAAGTGGCAATAGTGGGTGGATTTTAGGACAGAGGTAGGCTAGCTGTTTCCCTCTGCTTCCAGTCTATATGTTATGCTAAGCTAAGCTAACTGTATTCTGGCTCCAGCTTTGTATTTACTGTACAGACATCAGAGTGGTATTAATCTTCTCATCTAACTTTGTGAAGCAGGCCTATACATTTTTCCCAAAATGTTAAAAAGGCTTTCATATACATGCTCACTTGTCCTGCAGTCACACAACAAATACAAAAACAACACACACATATAACCATCATACCTGCTTTGCAGACATCTATGATTTCAAAGCCGATGTTTTCTCCCTCTCTGTCACAATCAGTCCAGATGATTAAGGCCTGGCACTGTCTCGCCTCTTTCTCTAGTGTCCTCTGGAGACAGAGAGGGGACAAAAAGAAATCATAGTAAAGAAGAGTGAGAGAATCTGTCACATCTAGTATATCTACTATCCATAATCATCACTATTTCTTCTCAATGAAAACTGTGACCTCCAAATAAAGAGAGAGAGGAAAAGGCAGAAAAAGTACATCGTCTGCTGCCAACTTGTGCAAGTTATTAGAGCAAAAACACAAAAAACAAACTGGCGGAGAGTTGTGAGTAATTCTTGGTCCAAACACAAATCAAACATCACAGTAACACACATAATGTGGCTCCAGCACGAGTGACAGATGCCATAGCTTAATTTAAATACAAAAAATATCTGTTTTTGTGTATTAGTCTGGCTCCTGGGAGGACAGCAGCATATAAGCATACCTTAATTTGTATCATGTTGTCTGGACAGTACTTCTCTACCTCAGCATCAAATAACAGCACTGGGTTACAACTGTGCCTTTGGAGAGAAGAGGAACAAATACAATCAGCTGATCTGACACATAATGTGATGCTGAACATATATA